TGTATGTGGCACTATCTGTTATGAGATTGTGTTATAAAAATTTTTTATATTTTTAATTATTATAAAATGGCAGAAAATTTAATTTTGAGGTTAAGCATGAGTTTTATAAAAATTTGTAAATGCTAGTAATGAGAATAAATGTCATTAAATCCAACACCTCTTGAGATATGACACGTGACCCTCTTTTATCTCCCCAACTCCTGGACCTTTAACTACCAAAATTTAATGATATCAATGCCCCTTATATACATGGTTACATTATGGTACGGTACCATATCAATTTTTGTTTCTTAATCTGTATCCCATCCTGAGATATTAAACAAAATAGATGCCAATATGTATACACACATCTACATAGTTTTTTTTGCAGTTTTTTGACTTTTTTGGATTCAGGAGGTCTCAAAATGTGGAGATTTGCAAAAAACTCTGAGGGTCAAATTTGACACAATTCCAGTACTTCCCCTTGTTATGTATACATAATAACCAGGAAAATAAAAGGTAATTATTATTTTGAAATTAGAATAGATTAAGATCAATCTTAACTGGACTGCAAGAAGGGAATTTTGAACAAGGTTGAAAACAAAGAAATTACCACAGCTCTAGCCAAATAAAATTCCTTATTATCAAAAGTTATTTTTTTGTATCCATTTTATACAAGAAAATTAGAAAATTTATTAAGCATCATTTTTGTGATGTTTTGTTGCAAGTTCCTTAAGAGTAGGCTTACCTAATATTTTAGTTATTTTTCAATGTGATATAAATAAATATTTTTTAATTTTTTGGTGTTGTAAATATATGACTGTTTTTGTTATCACTCAACAATGGATAAATAATGTTTTTAAATATTGTTTTTTACATATTTAATTCATTGTATGAGACATTTGTAAACTGATCAACTCCCTCTCTTCATATTCATAGATGCTGATGTTGATCCATATATTTCCTGTGCTGTTTGAATAAGTTACATCCACGCATGAACTATATGTAGTCTACATGGTATTGTGCTGAATGAATAGTGTTTTGTTAGAACTAGCACGCATACTTTGTGTTCAGTAATATGCAAGACTGATATATTTTCTTTCCTACAAGCTAATAAGAGGACAGCACACCTAAAAACAGGTTTCTCATAGCTTTTGTGAATTGTCTATAACTTAATACATGTCTGAAAAATTAGTTTTACATGCTGGTGAATCATTGTAAATGTTGATTATGTGTAATAATATGTTCAGGTTTGCAGTCTTAACATATTGTCAAGCACTATAAACAAATCAGAAGCATACTAAAGTATGTGCTGATACAAAATGTATTGTACAGCTGTCTGCAATATTCAAATTGTATATAAGTTAGAGAATTTTGTGAAAATACAAAATGTTCAGTAATTTGGCATTTTTGATAATCCAATTTGCTCCAAAAAATCCAAAAAATTTTTACTCTGCTGGTTATGTCTAGATGATCAAGGAGAATAAGACATTGGCTTGATGCAGTGACAGTTAGACAGAGTTGAATGTGGTTCTAGCTTGCTGAGGTTCTGACCTAGATCAAGATCAGATCATCAGAAATTTTTTATCTTGATCTTGTTTTTTACATTGGGCTTCATCTCTTCAGCTTTTATTAAAATGTTTTTGTGAGTATGCTTCACAATTCCAGCAAAATGACTAGAATTACAAAAGTGGACAAATATATACAAAAACAATGGCATGGACATGGCAATGTATTTGCAGACTGACTATCTAAAAAATGAACAGTTGGCAACCCTCTATATTTGTACTCCAAGCAAAATAGAAATTGCTTTTAATGGAGCATGAAAAAACACTAAATTAGCAAAAAATTTTGTTGTCATGGAATCAAAAAAATAACTTTGTCATTTTGCTTTCATAACAACATGTTCTTAAAGACGATCATTAAAGTCTGACAATGTTCTATTTGTTTCTAAGTTTTGTTAATTTGTTGTTAATCTTCATTCATTTAGTGTTTTTTTTTCTTTATCCTATTAAAAGCAATTTCTACTTTTTTGAAGTTGTTAAATTTATCACTGTTGCAGGTTATGTGTTCACAGATAGTGAGTAGGATACCTTACGAGTAAGTTTAAAAAATCATACACGACTACTTTGATCCGTTTCAAGTCATATCGAACCAAAAAGTGGCGGGTTTGATAAAAGACGCCACGTCATGGCCATTTATTTATTATAAAAAATAATACAATGGTTATATGATACGAAGCGTTGCTACACAATACAAATACAAAAGTTTATATAACACAAATCATTGTTACACACACAGGTAATGACAGGAGAGAAATTTAACACTCCCCCTCAATGATTTGTCCCATTTTGCTTACAGTCATCGATTCCAAGTTGTCTAGCACATTTAACGTGTTTTCCAGTACACACTGGTTTTGTTAAAATGTCTGCTACCATTTCCTTGGTAGGGCAGTACATAATACATACATTCCCATTCTTCACTTCATTTCTTACAAAATGATATTTGGCATCAGTATGTTTTGTACGTTGACTCACACGATCATTCTCCGCCACTTTCATACAACTTTGGTTATCCTCGTACATAGTTACTTTCTTATCGACGGTTTCCCCAAGGTCCAGAAACACTCACTTCAGCCGAGCAGCCTCTTGGGTAGCTTCACAAAGTGCAACGTACTCAGCTTCAGTCGAGGACAGTGTCACATTGCTTTGCTTTTTACTGTACCACGATACAGGACTGCCTTGATATTTAAAGACATACCCTGTATGCGACTTTCAATCTGTGTTATCACCTGCCCAGTCTGAGTCAACGAAACATTCTAGTGTTCTAGCGTTGCTCTTTTCACCCAATTTTAGCTTCCAATCAGCTGTTTCCTTCAGATATCAGAACACCCTCTTAACCTCATTCCAGTCAGCTGCTCTTGGTTCCTTAGTACGTTGAGTGAGGATGGAAACTGCTGCCAATATATCTGGGCATGTGTTGGTTGCAAGGTACAGTAAACTACCTATACCCTTCAAGTACAGTTTATTACTTTCCATTCTTGGTCCCCGCTCTTTAATTTTGAAATTTCCAGGATCAAGGGGAATCTTGCTGGTTTTTGCACCTTGAAGTCCAAATTCTACTAGTTTGTCAGTTATAAAATGTTTTTGATTTAAATGGAATATTCCATCACCATCTCGATCAAATTTGATTCCGAGGTAATGATCGATATTTCCGAGGTTTTTCATGTGGAAATATTTGTTAGTTTCCACTTCAAGCCAATCTAACGCTTCTTTGGAGGTTGATGCTGCAATTACATCATCAACATGTACAATGATGTACATTGTTGCATAGCATCTTTTTCCGGTGTACAGACAAGGGTCATTTATGCACTGCGCAAAACTGCATTCAGTCAGTATTTCATGCAATTTTTTGTTGCACTCAGTAGCTCCCTGCTTCAATCCATAAAGGTTTTGCACAAGCTTCAAACTTTGCTCGGTTCCTCTGTGCTGTAGCCTTTAGGTTGCTGCATGTACACTGTGTGGTGTAGGTCGCCATTCAAGAAAGCTGTCTCAATGTCATAGTGATTCACATGCATTTTACGTTTAGCTGCTAAAGTGAGCAAGATCCTAAGGGTTGTTGGCTTTGCCACTGGAGCAAACACCTGGTCATAATCCTTCCCATATTTTTGACTGAAGCCTTGTGCCACCAGACGTGCTTTGTATCTTGTCGGTTTACCTTGTGGATCACATTTAATTTTGTATATCCACTTACTTCCAATAACATTTGCTTCTGGTGGTGGTTTGGCCAACACCCATGTTCCATTTTTCTTGAGTGCACAAATTTCCGCATCCATTGCCTTTATCCACTCATTTGCATCTTTTCCGTTGACGGCTTCATTGTAGGTTTTCGGTTCAGAAACAACCTTACTTTGCATTGCCTCAATCAATCTGTCTGGGGGATGACCTTTGTTGTTTCTCGTAGAGCAACGGAGTGGCAGATTGTCCTCAGATTGCTTGTTAACTCCTTTGAGACTTTCCAATTTTTGATATTAATGTAATTAAACATAAAAAATACTTAAAACTGAAAAAAAACGAAAGAAATGCATTAATTTTGAAGAAAAAGCTTCAAATTTTATTTTCCTCTGTCTCGCCTTTCTGTGAAATCTGACGCTGATGAGTTATTGTTTACACAGCTGGATGACCTTGAACACAGCTGGAGAGATGGCTCTTTCATTTAGGTTAACTTCCATTTCGCTTTTGCTGTCATCTTCACTGTGATAATGTGGGAGGGATGAATTGTTGGTCAAGCCCATGTTGTCATGTGGATTTCCTTCTTACATCACGACTTATCTTGATTTTCTTGGTTACAATATCCAGCAATTGCCTTGCTGCCACTTTCATATCCCACAAATCTTGTTTCAATTGCTTTTACATCCAGTTTCTTTCTTACTCCAAAAGGAACTCTTGTGTAAGCAATACATCTAAAATGGCGGAAGTACACAATATTTGGCTTCTTACCTTGCCATTTCTCATATGGTGTCATTGGGTCCTTTTTCAATGGTAATCTGTTCTGGATATGATTTGCCATCATTAATGCCTCACCCCAGTAGCATTTTTCTAATTCTGCATCATGCAACATTGTTCTTACCATCTCACAAAGAGAGCGATTTTTCTGTTCTGCCTTGCCATTCTGTTAAGGGCAATCTGGTGCTGTGGTCTGAACTTTAATACCATCCTCCTTGAAAAATTTATGCAGGTCTTCATTCATGTACTCAGTCCTATCAGATCGGAACTTTTTCATCTTGCATCTCATTTGTGTTTCAACATAGTTTACATATTCCTTTATTTTTACATTAGCCTCAGACTTGTGCTTCAATAGATAAACTTTGGTATAACCAGTATAATCATCTATAATCGTTATGTAATATCTATTTCCACCAGGGGTTCTCACTTGCATGGGTCCACACAAGTCACTGTGCAATAGCTCAAGCTTTGTACTACTTCTATTCATCGATTCTTTTGGAAATGGTTTCCGTATTTTTCATGCAACTTTTGCATCCCACAGTGCATCCACACTCATTAATTGTCACACCCTTGACACTTTCAGCAGCCATATAACGCATTACAGATGGATCATGGTGGCCACACCTCAAGTGCCACAGATGTACACAGTTTCTTGGGTATGGATAATACTTGTAAAGCATTGTGTTGACTCAACACAAATAGTGATCCCCGAAGCTCAGCCTTTGCATGTGTCTCGCCATCTCGTTTTATGTAGCACTGCATTGTTTTGCTATCGAAATACACATCATAACCTCTATGCATCATTTTTAAGACCGACAATAAATTCCCATTTAGTTGTGGTACATATAACACATTATCAAATTTTAACTTGCCATTTGAACTACCTTCATCGCAAATTAGCTCACCATGCCCAATTCCGCTTGCAGGTACTTCTCTTCCATCAGCCACCCGAATGATTTCACTGTTGTTGTTGTTCAATTTTCTGAAGAAGTTCCTGTTGTTTGTCATGTCAGCTGTTGCTGCTGAATCAACATACCAATCCCTTGTAGTCTTCACAGCAAGACATTGTTTCATATCTAATGGCATATTTTGTGTGCTCACACATGCAGAGTGGCATTCGTGTGTTTCTTCATTGCCCAATGGATCAGACTCTTCCTGGACTTCAGTTAATTTTACTTTGTATTCTTTCTTTTTCTTTCCTCTGCCCAATTCAGGACAATCCTTTTTTAAATGGTGACCCCCACAATTGTAACATCCAGTTTTCTGTTTACGGACCATTGTTTTCAAAGCCATGGCTTCATCCATATTCATGGTATGTCCAAGCGATCCTCTTGATTGCTTCTCATACTCTTCCATGATCTTAATCTTTACGAATCCAAGAGTGAGGTCCGTATCTGCTCTTGCCTCAAGAGCAGTCATTAATGTATTATAATTATCAGGCAAACTTCCCAACATGAGAATTCCCATGAGTCTGTCACTCATTTGTTCTCCCGAAGCGGTTAACTCATCTACTAAATCCTCTATACTATTTAAATGTCTTTCCATATCCTGCCCCTCTTCATACTTTAAGTGAAATAATTTAGAAAACACAATATTCAAGCATCCATTGCAGCAAAACCAAATCAATTAAAACGTTTTATTTTCATATGGATTTTAAATTTTGGTGTCAAAATTGTATTTTACTTACATATTTCTTAAATACATGATATTGTATTTTATGATATTGAATGATATTGGAATGTCATTAAATAATATCAGATAAGAAAATACTGTAGATTAAAATCATTTAATTTACCAAATATGAATAACACCTGAATCTAAAAAATGGTTGGATGGCCAAGGCCATAAAGGTGTCAATATATATATGCCGGATGGCCAAGGCCATAAAGGTTGACGTTTTTAAGGCCTTGGTGATCAAATATGCATACCTAAGTTTATTTTTTGTACGTATGTACATTCAGCTAGTCTTTGAAGTACTGGTTTGGGTCCAGAATGAGTTGTCAGAAATTTTGTGAACGATATAACCTGTATTATTAGAATAGGATAAGACAGGTTAAACTCCATCTCTAAGGTTTCCTCATTGCAGATTTCACATTGAACACAGATCTAAGAGATCTCACAAGATGGAACTTGTTTCTTACATAATTCAGATTTCTGATAATAAATTTAAATTATTGTACATGATAGGAACCCTAAGTTGTTCATTTTTATAATCATTTGTAGCTTAGATGACTTGATTTTATTTAAAAAAAAAGAGCCTAAAAATCTCTATTAATTCATAATTATAACTATTGAAATTACCAAAATAAAGCATTTTTCATTTTACTATAAAAATTATCACTTCCTATAGAAACTGTTTGTGACAGTAACAGGCCTCTAGGCCTAATACTGGATAGATAAAAATATATATATATATATCAATTTCTTAACATTTGTATACTACTTTCCTAGTCTTTTATTAAAATTTCAACAAATTTTTAATGTTTATTATATTATATACATAAAAAATTGTTTAGTATTGTACTGTACAAGAGACATTTTGGAGACAATACCTTATACATTAAGAACATAAAAAGATGAATCTTTAGTATGTGATATCTGGAATGACCAGTGTGAATATCTTTCATCATCCATAAAATATATAAAATACAGCATTTTAAATTGAGTTTAAGACTTCAAGTAAAACTATTTAAATCTGACATTTTACAATTATATTGATATATATCTATATTTTTTTTAAGATCTCAATATCAATTCCGCACTTATAATTTAAAAAAAAAGAATATTCAATTACAGGAAATTTGAAAAAATTTCACCACAGCCCCTCCCAAAGCAATAACCTACAGGTCAATGGCTATCTTCCAAAAATTACCCCCTACAGCTACACTTTCATTCAATCTAATTAAGTAAAATGTTTAAAAATCTAACAAAAGAGAGTAATTCAAGTATTCAATATTATCCTATAAAAATTTAATTATGTCTTTCAAATTGTATTAACTTTTATTAATCTTTGAATGAACTAAATCAATTTTGTGAATTAATCTAATAAATTTTAATCTGATAGAGAGATATTTAATATTCAACTTGTACAACAGGTTATTAACATAAAATTAGGAGGATGTGCTAACTGCATGTGTCATGTCTTCAAAATTATTTTGTAACCAACTAAAAATGCCTCATCAGGGAAAAAAATAACAATAAATTATAATTTTTTTAAGTTCTAGTTACATTCTTTCCAAATTTTTGATAAATGTTAACATTTTAAAAGTTATCAAAAACTTGTTGACCATGCTCCACTCTGTTTCAAGTAATAATTTCTTGAAGGTTATCTGGTGATTTATTAATATATATATATAAATTTTGGATAGATTTCAAGATTTACGCAAGAAGTAAGTCTGTTCATAAAAGAAAAAAAAGAAAAAAACACGCTCAAAAACAACAACAAAAAAACAAAAAAAAAATACATGTGAGGCTCTTCTGGAGCTTCCCCATTAGCCAATACTGAATTACTCAGACACACGTGATCAGCAGAGAAAGTTATTGATGCCAGAAGTGCATCTGCAACGAGTAGAGAGGCCACCTAGGTACTGCGTGTCTGTCAGTTGATGGCTTCGTGTGTAAGTATCGCGAGTACTCTTTTCTTTATTTGTAACTGAAGAGAAAAGGTACAAACAATATATTTTAAATTTAAACAAACAAAACAACCCACTCAGTTCGAGAACAATAGATAAAGAAAGAAAAAAGAAGTTGGTAAACTATGTGGTGTTGGGTTATTGCTCAATTTTGCATTGTTAAGTGCGTTTATAAACTGGTATTTTAAGTGTAAACCACTTTTTTTAGTCACGAAATTAACAGGTATACTGTAATTTCGATTGACTACGTTCGATGCGAAATTAACAGATATCTGTTTTGTATTTTGTACGTAATTAATTGATCCGAATACACTACTTAGTGTGAATTTAACGTGTTTTTCGTGCGAAATGGTCGCGATTTTGAATATTATTGGTGCAAAATCAATGTGTTATTACTACTAATTTGCATGCAAGATGCGAAATTAGTAAATGTGTAATAACCGAAGAGATTGGCGCACGATTTCGGTAGTAAAACACAATGTTTTAAGACAGTTGGCAATTGTCCTTGACAGTACTAGTTCATCGATGCTGATAATCCTTATCCTGCGAAGGTCATTCAACTACAAGTTGCAATAATTTATGACCTTCGCCGTCTGCAGCTAGATGGAGCTTGTGTCGAGTTTTTCTAGGACTTTCTCGTGTTTTCGCTCGTTATCTAACAATAAGCTATTATACGTGATTGTCGTCACGTGGTTTATAAACGAGCAATCTCGTATGAAGAATCGATGACTCGATGCGAATTGCAATTTATCGACGATAATGAACTTTAGATATGTAAACTCGTCTGGGGACGTTAGATAAGTGGTCACGTGGTTTCGTGCAATAATGGGATAATGTTACTACTATATGTGTGCGTGTATGCGAAGGGCTCGAAATGGACAAAAATTCGGCACTATTAGTCGAATCTATTTATAGATTGAGTGAATAAAGTCAAAATTCATTCTTGTTGAATAAATTTACGGGTGATAAGTGAAATTTTTCTTTATAAGTATGAAATTATCCGTAAAGGAAATTTGTGTATTCGATAAAGTGGTAATTTATACACGCGTGGCTACTTAATAATAATTTTTTTAAAGTTAATTTGTACGATATTGTTAGATAATCGTGACACAATCTACAAAATGAGAGTTTTGGTACGAAATTATGAAGTTTTTACGTGGTTACCTACATGTTTAATCAATGTATCGGGTTGTTAAAACAGTGTGTTTGACCTAATTGCCCGTTTCGCCGTCTGGTTTTTTTATTTTTCATTCTGTTTTATAATTCGTTATTGCGAAAATATTCTGGAAGATTCCTCAATTTTATCTATTTCTCATTAATATCGAGCGTTTGAGCAGGATATCTTCGTAGTGTTCGCGTTAATCTATATGTGAATATGATGTGTTGCATTCCACAATTGTGCAATACTGATCCCAATTCTATGTAAAGTAATCTTAATTAAAGTGCATTTATGCTATAAACCAATGCAAAATCGATAATTAATAAGCAAATTTGACATGATTTTGAAATTAATAGAACGATATGGATGTTAATTAGTACAGCAGTAAGTTTTCAATAGTTTAAATATATATATATATATATTACATAAGATATAATGTATAAGATTTAAATAAGATAAATGTATTAAGATTTAAAAATTTAAATAAATATATATATAAATA